GAGCAGCTAGTGGCTGGTTGGATGGTCGATGCTGAAAGCCATGAATCTTTGATTCATCCAGCCGACATTTGAGACAAAACCTGCAGCAGTTTTTGCTACTTTCTACACATTCAACCTAAATAATGGATATGAAGCAGCAAAGCCTCTGGACTTTATTCAGAGGTAAAACTACCCAGTGATTTTATTTTGAAAACTCTTTACAATGAATAAAATACAATTGTCAAGAAAATCCGAGATCATTCCACTTCCCCATGCTGGAGATTTTAGTTCACAGTAATAATAAATAAAGTTACCTTTAAAATTAGTCACAAGTGACATCTTGATCCAACAGTAGACCCAGACTGCAATAAAATAAATCTGGTTGTGTGTGTTGTTTGAAGGACTCTTTTAACCTCCAAAAATATATCTCCTCACCTTGTTCATAAAATCCCAAACACTTTAACAAATTGCTTTTTACTGAGGTTGCTTTAATTTCCACCCCATAATGAGACAATTTCATTCCTCTATGAGTATAACTCTGTAACATAATTAAACTAATTCTTCCTGTTCCTCTTAGATGATCTGTTCCTTCATTAAAATAACTAATTATAAGTATGTTAATTATTAATTATAATTATTAATTCAAGTTGACATGAGTAGAATATGGCAACTTGATGTAAAAGAGCTTTTCATAAATCATGAAAATTTAATTTAAAATATTAAATCAGACATTTTTATGTATTCAAATCATTCTTTAAACTTTGCATACAGTCCAACAAATAGTCTAATATTTTCTGTAATGCAAATAAAGAAAAAAAATAACCTGAAATATTTTCTAACATTCCCATGACAACAAAACCCAACAGAACCTGGTATCATCACACAATGACAGATATGAACAGAACAGTTACAGTAGATAGAAACATCTCACCTCTCTGATGGTAGAAAAGATCCAGAGTATCTCGACGGACCCTCTGACATTAAATATGACCAGCTGGGTTCTGATTCGGATTCGGATTCTTGTTCTGGTTCTGGTTCTGGTTCTGGTTTGCGTCTCCAACGGTTCCTGACAGAAACATGATGATTAAAACTGAATCAGCAAAGAGGAGCAGCAGCAGCTTCATCACCACGTCTGTTCTGGCCTGATATAGTGAACGCTGTGTGAAAAGGGCTGTGGACAGTTAGAGATGGTGACCTCACCTCTGACCTTTGCTCTGGCTCTCATCTTTTTGTGAAACAGAGCTGTGGGCTTCAAGTTCATTTTTATTCTTGGTTCTTATTTCCAGAACCTCAGACATCAGACTGAGGAGACTGACTAAAAGATCCTAAAATGATTCCTCAAAATGAAATTGGGAATTTATTAGATTCCCAATGCAACAAAAAGCTGTTCTAGAAAAATATTCCCAATTATTACACAAGTTGTAGTTTTGAGGAATAATCTTATTGTTGAACAATTACTCTCAGTCAATCCATAATGTTAATAACCTCTTAAACCTGAATATCTTAGAAAGTAAAAAGGACATTTTTGGTTGAGTGAGAGGAGTTGAACCTCCCGTAGGACTTAGAGCGGTTTGGATCCTGGTTGAGCTTTACCGTGTTCGGTTCTGGAGGGTTGCTGGTTTATGAGCTTCTTTGATGTTTGCTGAACTGGAGAGATGGCGGGAATCTGCTGCTCTTCCTGAGGTTAAACAATTTAATCTAATGGAAACGTTCCCCAAAAATTAAGCAAACTTTGTTGCTTCAGCTTCTCCTCCTTTGGACGTCTGACATCACCTGAACCTGGGAATCAACATCCTCCTCTTTCTGTTTATCACACGGATCGCTTCGCTTCCATGTCTTGATGTTTTAGCATCTTTTGTGTAAAAAATAAAAGTAGGTGCACTGCTGTATTGGTTTAGGTTTGTGCTGGTTTTGTGCGGCGCGCACATGATGCGTGATGGACAGGTGGTTGTGCTCCTGCAGTGATAATTTAGTGCGTACCTTCTGATCTGTTGGACAGTTTATTTCAACATCTGCTGGTGTGGGCCAACGGGTGACCCGTCAGCTTTTAAGTTTGCGAAACAAAAAAAAGACCCGCCAGAACTGCACACTGTGAAAAGCTCAGGCTGATCTTAGAACAACAGGAGGTTCAAACTCCCCACGTTCATTTTTAGCTCACAGGAAAAACAAACTGACCAATAAGATTTAGCCTTTGGCGTACCCTTTGACCCCCACAGACTCACACGCTACATACAAAATGTTTTGGACAAAAGATCTTTATCTTCTCTCCACAATTTTGTTAAAAAGGGTTGGATAAAAAAATACAACAACTTTCCTTTTTTTAGTTAAAGTACAATCTCACAGTGTGTACAGCTGCTGCTGCAACAATAAATACTCTCAGTCACTTGTGGCCAGTTTAGAATCACAGAGAAGATCTCCAAAAGGGAATCAAACTTAAAACTCTGAACTGAGAACTTCTGATCACATAAGAGCAATTTACAACTGCCATGGTATTGATTAGTGATAACTATTGTCAGTAGTCCCTGACATTAATATGAGCAGGCAGCAAGGAATCATATATATATATAATATTATTGTAATAAAGGCTGAGCCAAGAAAATGTATATCCATACTTTAGCGATCTGGATGTTGAAGGTCTTATTTTAAATTTTACCAACACATGCTTAAATGCTCTAAATACGGTGGCTCCCTTGAAAACTATAAAAACTACAAATAAGAAACGTTTGGAGCCGTGGCTCAATGAAACCACTTGTGCACTGAGACGGGAATGTAGGCGTGCTGAGAGGAGGTGGAAAAAAGATAAATTGCAGGTTTTGTTTGAAATTTTAAAAGACTGTTTATTTAATTATCAGAATAATGTTAAATTAGCAAAATCTAAATATTTCATTAATCTTGTAGCTTTGAATAAGCATAGGCCTCAAGTCCTTTTTAGTGTTCTGGATAGGATTGTTAATCCTTTGACCACATCTGGCCCTTTAGCCTCTGTTGAACTTTGTGAGGCTTTCTCTAAGTTCTTCACTGAAAAAGCTACTCAAGCTACTCGAATACCCGAGTAGCTTTAGATTCCCATGAAATGCCGCAATGCACAGCTATTCTGGAGCATTTTCAACCAGTTTCTTTAGAAAAACTGACTTCAGTTATTAAACATCTGCAGCCATCAAATTATCCTTTGGATTGTCTTCCTACTCGTCTGATAAAAGACGTTTTTCTTACTTCTAGCCTATATATCCTAATGGTAATAAATGCCTCATTGCAGTCAGGTTGTGTCCCATCAATACTTAAACATGCTGTGGTTAAAAAGCCCAATCTGGACTCAAGTGTACTAGCAAATTTTAGGCCCATTTCTAAACTCCCTTTTTTATCTAAGGTCCTCGGAAAATTGGTTTATATTCAACTTGAATTCTATCTAAAAGTCAATAATGTAACTGAGAAATTCCAGTCAGGGTTTAAAGTTGCTCATAGCACTGAAACAGCTTTGCTTCGAGTTTATAATGACCTTCTTTCAACAGTTGATTCAGGCAATGTTGCGGTTTTATTACTTTTAGATCTGAGCGCTGCATTTGACACTGTTGATCATCAGATTCTTTTAAACAGATTAAAACATTGTGTTGGCCTGAGAGGCCCAGCATTTGAATGGTTCAAATCTTATTTAGAAAACAGAATTTTCACAGTTAATCTTGACCAATGCTATTCTGGGGCCAAACCTTTAAAGTATGGCGTCCCCCAAGGCTCAATTTAGGTCCCATTTTGTTCATTTTATATTTATTACCTCTAGGTCAGATTTGTCATAAATTTAACGTTTCCTTTCATTGCTTTGCAGATGACATCCAGATTTATATGCCCCTTAAACTAAAAAATGGAAATAATGAATCTCTTCAGCTATTGACAGATTGTTTGGCTGAAGTTAAATCTTGGATGGGACAAAACTTTCTTCACCTAAACCAAAGAAAAACTCAAGTTATATTATTTGGCCAAAGTCTTTACACTACAAATCCAGATCAGATTCTGGGTTCTTTAGGTCGGTTTTGTGAGACCTCAGTTAGGAATCTTGGCTTTACTTTTGACAGCTGTTTAAAGCTCGATAAACAAGTTAGTTCTGTCGTTAAATCGAGTTTTTATCACCTAGGGATTTTAGCAAAAATCAAATCTTATTTTTGTTTTAAGGACTTTGAAGGACTGATCCATGCCTTCATTACCACTCGTCTGGATTATTGTAATTCTTTATATAGTGGCATGGTTAAATCACAGATTCATCGACTTCAAATGATCCAGAATGCAGCGGCACGGCTTCTTACAGGAACCAGGAAGCACGACCATATAAGGCCTACGCTAGTCAATTTACACTGGCTGCCTGTTATGTATAGAATAGATTTTAAGATTTATTAACTTATAAAGTTTTAAATGGGTTAGCTCCCCTTATCTTCAGGATCTTTTAAAACTTCAGTCTGTGTCCAGAACCCTCAGATCAAACAATCAGCTTTTACTTCCAGTCCCTCGGACCCGACTAAGGAAAGGAGATCGGGCTTTTTCTGTTGTTGCTCCTAATCTATGGAACAATTTGCCTTTTCAGATTAGATCTGCTAGCAGCCTGGATCATTTTAAATCGCTTTTCAAAACTCATTTTAATTCGTTGGCTTTTAACTGAAGCAATTTTTTGATATTCTGTTTTTATCTATTTGTGCTACTGTTGTTCCTGTGCAGCACTTTGGTGCAGTTTTATACCCGTTTTTAAAGTGCTATATAAATAAATTTGACACTGACATATCAAACAAGTAGCCCTTCAAGTTACTCTACCCGTGAAGTAACTCCCAGTCTCAAAAAGGTTGGTGACCCCTTCATACAGACTCTTGAAGCCCTAAAATGATTTAACTCTATTCCCTGAAACACTGTCTTACCTGTGTTTGTGCTTCTGGTATTAAACTTTCTATTTTTTTATGTATTGTAACCCCTGGCATTTTTTTGTTTTCCACCATTCTTTATATTGTATTAATATTTTGATGCAATAAAAAAAAGACCTGAAATTGAGTCTAACGTTCCCATGACAACAGAACCCAACAGAACCTGGTATCATCACATGGTCACAATGACAGATATGAACAGAACAGTTAGAGTAGATAGAAACATCTCACCACTCTGGTGGTAGAATGAATCGAGGAGATTTAAAGTTAATGAGGTCATCCATTGACCTATTGCTCTTCAAGGACACACAGCTGGGTTCTGGTTCTGGTTCTGGTTCTGGTTCTGGTTCTGGTTTGAGTCTCTGATGGATCCTGACAGAAACATGATGATTAAAACTGAATCAGCAAAGAGGAGCAGCAGCAGCTTCATCACCACGTCTGTTCTGGCCTGATATAGTGAACGCTGTGTGAAAAGGGCTGTGGACAGTTAGAGATGGTGACCTCACCTCTGACCTTTGCTCTGGCTCTCATCTTCCCCACACAGAGTGGTTTTAGAGGGAGGGACTCCCTCCTCTCTGTCCTCACACTGATCCATGCTGCTGAATCCACATCAGCTCACACACACTTTCTAGCTTCACCTGCAGAGGAAACACACATCATTCATCTGCACATCAACTCTGATCATCCTTTACATCATTAGTGCTGGAAAAAGATCAGCTGCTCCTCCTCTGATTGGCTCTTCTTCTCTGCTTCATATCAGTGTCAGGTGAATGCAGTCAGACAGCAGAGAGGCAGAGGAAGCTGCCATCAGCTGCTGCACTTCTACTATCAGTCCACTAGATGGAGACATGGAGCAACATTTACATTCACTGATTCAACCTGAACAACAGGAAGTATTTTAGTTAATTATTAAACTCTACAAGTGGATCAAATGTGCCTCTGAAGTTGAACTATTTAGTAATTTGACTGAATTTAACACATTTTACTGTAGCAGCATTTTATTTTGAAAGGAAGCAGGAGAAACTTGTTGTTCATGTCTTTAATGGTGGAGACCAGAGTTTGATTCGAGGGAAATAAATACCATGAATCAATTTGTTCAGAGAAGAAAAAAACATCAGATGTTCATCATGTTTGATTCTAATTCATCAATAATCTTGTAGATTAACCTTCAAACTGCACAGATTAAATTAAATGTGAACATTTTCTCCAAACTTCAGAGAGAAACATAATAACCAGATATTAATATTCTTGAAGACAATGTTTTAGTAGAAAACAAAGCAACCTTACAGTTTCTTCAAATGATCCAAAGAGTTGAACAAGAAAATGTGATCAACAAACTGAGACCCAACAGAACCAGACTGGTGCCAAACATGAACAGGTGAGTTTAATCAGGAAGTAGAAATGAGACCAAACTGGTTTGACTGGAAACTGTCAGAGGAAAATTTATCTGTTGACGTCTGAAGATAAAAAATCTACTCATGACTCCCAGTTTGAACACAAACATTCTGCTGCTATTATTCTACTGATCCAGGTTCTGTTCAGCTCTAATGGAACCAGAACCTGTTTTAACTTTGAACCAACTGGACTCTTCATTGGGGATTTGTCTCCCTCTGGTGGAGAAACTACAACCTGCCTGATGTCTGATTATTAAACAGATGAATGATTTTAAATTATCCAAATTGTTTTTAAAAACGTGACCAGAACCAGAACCAGTGCTGCTGTTCAGACAATGAATAAAATATAAGTTGTTCCCCAGAAGCTCTTAACATGAAATCAATACAACAGCAGTAAATATTACATTGAGTCATTATTAATGACCTGAACCAAAAGGCCATCAGTCCACTAGATGGAGACATGGAGCAACATTACATATTAAATATTTTAGTTTATATTTATTGAACTACCAGCTCCATCAAAGATTAACTATTTAATAATCTGACTGAATTTAACACATTTTAACAATAATAGTTTCCTTTGAAGCTGTTTTGTTTAACTTTAATAGTGAAAACCAGAATTTGACTCCAGGAAATAAAAACATAAGACAGTTTGTTCAGAGAAGATCATTCAGCTCTTCATCAATTTGTTGGATTCTAGTTTATCATTAATCTAATAATCCCTTAGATTAAACAGCAGAGATTAAACTTTGAGTTCTAGTCAGTAGTTTTCTGTTCTCCAAACATCAGAGAGAAAAATAAGAAACAAACATTAAAGTTTCTGAAGAAACAATGAAAACTTACAGTTTGTTCAAATGATCCAAACAGCTGAAGAAGAAAATCTGAACAACAAACTGAGACCCAACAGAACCGCAGTAGAACCAGACTGGTACCACAACTGAGTTTAAACTGAAAGTTTTAAGAAGATAAAATGAACCCAAACTGGTTTAACTGGTCAGACTGACTGGGAGTCAGAGGAGTGTTTACCTCCTGACGACTGAAGACATGAATTCTTCTCATAACTCCCAGTTTAAACACAAACACTTTGTTGCTGTTATTTTAGTGATCCAGTTTCTGTTCAGCTCTAATGGAACCAGAACCTGTTTTAACTTGGAACCAACTGGAATCTTCAATGGTGGGAAATTTATCTTCCTCTGGTGGAGAAACTACAACCTGCAGGATGTCTGATTATTAAACCCAGATTACGTTTTTAAATGATCCAAACATGTCAGTGATGATATAAAGTGATCAGAAGCAGAACCAGTTCTGAGGTTTCATTCATCAGGATGTGAATTAAAGATCATTTGTTCCTCTGCAGATCTTAAAATGAGCTCAATGCATCAACATCACAGATTACACTGAGTTATTATTAATTGACCTGAATCAGAACCAAAGTGCTGAAGCATTGAAAGAGAAATTAAGTCCAACATTTCTGCTTCCACAGCAGGTCAAAGGTCAACAGAGAAACTGCTGGTCAGATTTAAATCTGTATGTTAATTACTTTCATCCCTTTGACACTAAATATAAATTAGTTTATAGTTTAATGTAATTATGGCATCAAAAAAAAAACATCAATCCAAAAATAAAAAACAAGAATCTATTAAAAACATAAACAAATAATCTAAAAACTGAAACAAAGGAACAAACTCAACTGTATCCTTAATATCACAACACGACTGCTGCTGAAACCACACAGAAAAGTACCGTCGCCTACCAACCTCTCAGCCAATAGAATCCAAGTGTTACATTGGATTTTATAACATTGGATTATAGACGTTATAGACGGGTTAGAAGGAAACTCATTGTGTGTCTGATGAATCTGTCTAGATAGAGATTCTGTCTATTCTAACAATATAGGAACAATCTAGATAGATGATAGAAAACCCATAAAACTGATAAAAATCAACATCTATTCTGTGACTCTTTAAAGTTTAACTAACCTCTGAAATCTAAACCAACTCATTGCAAATATTCTGTTCCAAGATGGATCAGAAAATGATTCACAGGCAGGAAGAGAGTTTTGCAAAGATTTGATTCAAGTAGAGAAAAGTTTTGATCATAAGAAAAAAGGTTTGAGGAAAAAACAGTGAATATTTGACGGAGAGCAGAAGTTTTGAGTTCAAGCATTAAAAGTTTTTAGAGGAAAGACACGACTTCCTGCTTTCAGACCGATAATTATGGCAGAAATATTCCTCCATAGCCTGGAACAGAATGTCCCTGAGTCATAACATTCAGACTGGATGAACCGGTCGCTGGTTTTGCTTTTATTTCCTTGTTTCTTCTTTTCTCCTCAGCTGTCATGTCAGGTGAACAGCCAGTAGGTGGCGCTAGAGTCAGGAGGAGCAGCCTGGAGAAAAGGCTGATCCTCCCTGATCTGTTTCCAAGCAGTCAGAGTGTAGAAGTTGAGAGCTGGAGAAGTTTCCTCCTGTTGCTGCAGCAGCAGAGATGTTCTGCTTCATGGACTAAATCAGGTTGGAAAGAGGAGAGATCTTTACTGAGCTGATAAAAGCTGCTGAAACATTTCAACTCTTTCTGGAAACTAATGAGACAGAAAAACAATGGATGTTTTTACCATCCAGACCTTTAGAACCAGTTCAGCTCAATAATTCAGTTGTATCTGTGGAAGATGAACAGATTTGATTGTGAAATGATGAAATTCTTCATTTCTATCTGATGTTCCAGCAGATCTGTAGAAAATGGAGCTGCAGCTCTCAGATATTTCATGTTTTCTATCAATGAATCCACTGATTAAAGCAGGAATCTCATCTCCATGTTCTCCTCCAGAGGTTCCCAAGGTTTGTTCCTGGAAGCTGCTGCTGGTTCCTCCAATCCAGGCTCCGCCCCCTTTAGAGGAAATCTGTCCATATATGGTGCTAAGAGTCACCTTGATGCTGCAAAGCTTTGTTCAGGGATGAGATGTCAGGGTGTTGGTGTCAGTCTGTTCCAGGCTTTAGTTGTTCTCCTCATGAGGAGCTGAAGTCTCTGACAGGAACATGGAGCTGAACAGGAGAAGAACTTGAAGCTTCTTCTTGGCCCTCTGATTGCAACAGCAGGACAATCCAGATTAAGGTGGTTTTTATGTGAACAGGCAGGAAAAGCTGCTTCCCAGTGTGAACTGTTCCAACATTTTGTCTTTGTGGGTTTTCAAAATCATGAACTTGGACTTAACTGTTTCAATGGACACTAAGAATATCTGACTGATTTTCTGTATGTCAGACATGATGGCAGAAATATTTATTTTGTATTTTTATCTTTATATTTCTTTTAGTGTGGCCTTGATATTCTGTGGTAGCCAATAAAATTGGACCTAAAAATATAATTTTCCACATATTTTTAATCTAAAAATGTCAGTCTTTACAAATGTGGAATACAAATTTCAAAATGTTTCCAATAATTTTGTACTTTTTAACATTCGGAGCCTGAACATCATTGAATGGAGGAGTGAAGGTTTCCCAGCATTCAGTCTAAAGAAGCTCAGCTCTTCTCAGCTCTGAGACATTTTCTGAATAAATCCCAGTCAGTGAATCTGCAGACCTGCTCAGATCCAAACATCCCATTTTCCAGGAGTCACTGGTTTCATCTGTCGTTGTTCCAGCTGCTGAGGTCAGAATCCAGCTGTAAAACCTGGAGGTTGAATGTTCAGGTTCTCTCCTCCAAACATCCCCCCTCCCTCCAGCTGCTCTTTTCTCTGGACTCATTTCTCCTCTAAGTATGTTTCATTCATAACATCCATGAAAACACAAGACTAAAAAACATAATAAAAGATCAGCACAAAGAAAATCAATCAAGTGTTGGTAGCAGCATCATCATCATGAACCATCATGAAACATTTTCATCAGAACTTCTCTCCTTCCTCATGAAGATTTGATCAACCTGCCTCTGATTCTACAGCAAACCTTCTGCTGCTCTGAAAGAACAAACTACAAACCAGGTGAGTTTCACATAATCATTTATTCAACATTTATAACACCTGGACTTTGAATTCTTGTGGTTTATGTCGGGTAAAAGTCCAGTTCTGTTGTGTCTCTGTTCAGGTTTGGCATTAGTCTGGTTCTCCTGTGGTTCTGTTGGGTCTCAGTTTTTCAGATTTTCTTCTTCAACTCTTTGGATCGTTTGAACAAACTATAAATTTCTTTATTTTCTACCTGAAGTTTGTCCACAGAAACTTTCTGATTTCTTTCTGTTCTCTGATGTTTGGAGAAAATGTTCACTTCTAAATTCATCTCACAGATTTTTCTCCCTGCTGTTAAAAAGTTAATCTACAGGATTATTAAATTATTGATAAAGTGGAAGAAAAAACATGATGAACAGATAATGTTCCTTTACTTTCTTCTCTAAACAAACTGCTTCATAATTTTATTTCCATAAGTTTACTTTTATTTAAGGTGTTTAAAAACAAAGTTATTCATTTTATTTGTATTTATTGACAATTATGAAAATTTCCCCCAAAAAATGAACCAGTTCCATTATAATTGTCTTATATTTTTATTCACCATTTCATCAAACTGTGTTAAAAATAAATAATCACCAGTCACTTGAAGATACTTTATTAGTGATTAATATTTCTGCTCCAGAAATTAGATATTCCATTTTTAGTTCAATACTTTTTAATTAGTCGCACCAAATGATTTATATAATAAATGTCGGCCAGTAAACGGGTCAAAATCCTTTAAAAAATAAAAATATTATTTCATCAAGTAACAGTACATTACAATAAACACAAATTAAACACACCAATTTAATTCACATAAAAATTAATGCAGTATAAACTTTGTAACAAACATTTCAATCAGATCCTAATAAAATTAGAATGTTCAGTTGATTGATTTGATTTTCTGAACTTTTTAGTTTTAATTTAAAAACTTAATAAAAATTCCAATCTCCCCAATGTAAGAACAATAATGACAACAGAATAATTCAGTTTAATGTGATTATTTGAAGCAGAACCAAGTATGATCAATAATGTAATCAATAATCAATAATGTAATCAATAATCAATAATGTAATCAATAATGTAATGTAATAATATAATCTTTCACAAGTTCCCCAAATGTTGCTTCTTTCAAAAAGGAAAAGATTCAATGAACTCTAAACCATCATATTACTCCTGGGTAGAGACGCTTCCATCAGGGTTTTTCCTGCCGGTTCTGATCACCATGAGGTCCGATCACTGCTGATCACAGATATCGATCACATGGATTGGCTGTTAATGTTTCGCTTTAGGTAGAAATGCTACTATGTGATCTGGCAAACTGGAGCCATAAAATCACCTAATTTAGACAAAAACATGTTCAATACTTGCAGCTCATGGCTGATTGTTCTGGTTCTGATGGGTTGGTTCTGACCCACTAGAGTAATTCAGCAGAACACAGAGAGGAGACAGAGGAAGTCCATTTGTTCTCTCAGATTATCTCATGTTAGGACATAGAGAAAGTTACATTAAAACTGTTTTAAAGTTTCCTACTCAGTACGACGTAGCGGTGGTCCAACAGAATTATTGGGTTAGGATTAGTGGGGTCAGGGTTGGGTTAGGGGTCGGGTTAATCATGTTTAAAATTGGCTCATTATGAAGATTTTTCATTTAAAAATTTACACCATTTTTATACAGTTTTATACATTAAAAGACACAAAAAACAGATAATTAAATCACTTGTTAGAATATATTGACAAAGTTTTTTCCATTTTAAACTTTCTAACATCTTTCCTGCAGTTACAGGGTGAGTCTTTCTTCATGACTCTTTAAGGAATGAGAAGCTCAATGTTTTTATCCAACCTTGTTATTAATCAGTGAAATAAGTTGCAACCAGCTGCTGATTTTACTGTGTTTTGGGATTTCCAGTTAAATCCTTTATTTTCCACTTTGGGTTGAATCAGGTGTGGCCCACGTTGGTGCTGTGGCGGGTCGTATCCATGTTGATTTATTCTCAGCTAAAAACAGGTTTACTTTTTGTTATCAGATGTAAAA